GCATCTATGGATTGTATCCTAGTTAAGGGAATAGAGTTTTAGAACCCGCTCATTTTGTAGGGAGAATTGGATAAACCTTTTTATTTTATTACTTAGAGAGTGAGCATGAGTGGGGCTGGGGGGCGATGGGGAGGTAGGCAGAGGGGGAGAGAGAGAGAATCTTAAGCAGGCTGCATTCTCAGTACAGAGCCGGATGCAGGGCCTGATCCCAAGACCCTGGGATCATGACCTGAACTGAAATCAAGAGTTGGAGGTCAACTGACTGAGCCACCCAGGTGCCCTAAAAACTTTTTTTTTTTTTAAATCATACCCACTTAATCATCTTTGGGCAATACTTTTGTCACTTTTAGAAATAGAAATGAATATGTTTGGGAATAAAGGGCTTTGCCTATCCTGTGAGTGAAGTTAGGACAATGGGAAAAGCTTGGATAATTTATCTGGTAGAATGTTCCCAGGGAAGGATTCAAAGAGCAGCTGTCATCACTGTTCTGAAAAGAAATGGAGAGAGTAGTTCTATGGAAAGAACATTTGATACAGGAAATATTTATATTTTCAACATATAAAATATAAAAAGTATATACAGTTGTCTTAATTGATTCAGGCTGCTGTAAGAAGAATCCCACAGATTTGGTGGCTTATAAGCAACAGTAATTTACTTCTCACAGTTCTGGAGTCTGGAGGTCCAAGGTCAAGGTGCTGGCATGGTCGAGTGGGAGCCTTCTTCCAGGTCACAGACTTCTCACTGCTTCCTGTGGCAGAAGGGGCAGGCTACCTCTTTGGGGTCTCTTATACTGGCACAAATCTCATTCATGAGGGTTCCATCCGCAAGACCCGGTCACCTCTCAAAGGCCCCCTTTCCTGAGGCCATCAGCTTATGAATTCAGGGGGTGGGCACAAACATTCAGACCATAGCAAAAATACAAATATATAAATATAAAATTTTTCATCTCTCTAGAAGGCAACTAAACACAAGGCTTACGTATAAACTGAAATAAGGTTGGATAGGCAGGTAGAACACCTCATTTGTTCTTCTGTGAGTGTATTTCTGCACTGCTTATGGAAATACTTACCATGGAGGCTCAGTGATAGCACAGGTCATACGCTGAGGCTAAGTGACTGTTGTTTCTCCCTAAGGCAGGTTTACCATGTCTTTAAGTATTAGAGGCTCTGCTACATGGAATGGCTTGTGTAGGAAATTGCATGATGTAGGAGTGGGGGTATGGAACCCTAGCAAAGCAGTGAACAGGAACTGTGAGGCTGCAAGGAAGGATGTGAGGTTATGAGTGGTCAGACTGATGGTAAGTCTGCTCTGAAGTTTTCTGTCTTTTCCTCCATCTGCCCTCGTGTTGGTCCGGGGGTGTATTAGTAGGGGCAGTATCTATGTCCCTCTCCCTGCCTCTTTCTTTTAAATCCTCAGGACCTTTATATTTTATTATTATTATTTTTTTTTATTTTAGAGAGAGAGAAAGAGAGAGCAGGAGAGGGACAGAGGCAGAGAGAGAGAGAATCCCAAACAGGTTCCATGCTCATTGCGGAGCCTGACTCAGGACTTGATCCTATGACCCTGGGATTATGACCTGAGCTGAAAAGCAGAGTCACATGCTGAACCGACTGAACCACCCAGGTGCCCCCAAATCTTCAGGACCTTTAAATGTCCATCTGGTACCTCTAAGACCCAAAATTTTGAAGGACTAGAACTTGGTAAGTTATATCCACAGGTTAAAGAGTTTTTCTCTCTCTCCCTCCCTCTGTACATCTCCCCCTGTTCCCTTTTCTCCCTCTCCCCCCTACTTTCTCTCCCTCCCTGCCTCCCTCCCTTTCTCTTTCACACACACACACACACACACACACACACACGCACACGCACATGCACACGCACATACCCACACATGTATGCATGCCCCCACCCCCAACACAAATAGTTTGCTCACTGCAGTGTTGGAGAACCTGATACTCTGGGTAGGAAGTGATACTGCCCATCTAAATGGAAAGTGCAAGAAAACGGGTTTTTCCAGAGCTTGGCCCAGTATTGCTTCAGTGCAGAAGAATTTCCTTTCATATGGGCATTGGTTGTTTATTGTTCATTTAGATTAATGATTTAAAAGTTTGGAGTTAGAAAGCTAGATAAGCATTCATTTGCATTAAATGTGAAATGATGAGAATGTGGAGCACCCACACTTTCAAGAAACATCATTCTCCTTTCTGTGAGCAGCGGGGGGCATCTGTGTGTATACCGGACCCTACCTGATGCTGCACGCCTTCCAAGTGAGCCGTCCGTCCCCACAGTGAACAGGTGCTAGTGACTTAAGGTAGGAATGGCCTGTGCAGTGTTGCATTTCTCCTTCAGCAGCATCTCGTGATATCAAAACCTAACACCAGAAACAGATGGAAACTGGACCTCAGGTTTCAGATCTTGTTCAAAGGACAGGAGTAGCTGAATTGAAAAGTGTCAGATTTAGAAAACCTGTAATTAGTTAAATGGATGAAGGAAATGAGGAATGGAAAGTGTTGTTATATAATGAAAATGGAAAAATTAGTGATTTTTTTCTATGTTTATCCTTGGTAAAAAGCACTTATATAAACATATAAACTAAGGTATATGTGTGTGTTACATGTCATAGTGTTTTGGTCCAGTATTCTGAGAAATAGGGTCTTGGCAGTTTGAGGATTAAGTAGTACTGGATGTGCAAGGATTGCATCCCCATTTGGAATCTTTCGGCTGGGTGATTTAAAATTAATTCAGAGTTAACTAGATGCTCATTATTATTGAAAATATTTATACGATGCATAAATGCACTTTTCTTTCATCATAAATACATAATAGCATGTATAAGGTTTCTTTGATGACTTATGTTATTTTTTGTGGCTTTTGGACGGCACCTTGAGAGGGAGTTACACTAGTCTGATACCCTTGATTGAGGGTTAACTGAAGTTTTATTTTATTTTATTTTTTTTCTAGTGTTTTTTTTTCTTTCTTCTTTTTTCATTTTAATGTAATTTATTGTCAAGTTGTCTAACGCACAGTGTGTAAAGTGTGCTCTTGGTTTTGGGGGTAGATTCCCATGATTCATCGCTTACATACAGCACCCAGTGCTCATCCCAACAAGTGCCCTTCTCAATGCCCATCACCCATTTTCCCCTCTCCCACCCCGCCCCACCATCAACCCTCTGTTTATTCTCTGTATTTAAGAGTCTTCTATGATTTGCCTCTCTGTAACTATTTTTTCCCCTTCCTTTCCCCCATGGTCTTCTGTTAAGTTTCTCAAGTTCCACATATGAGTGAAAACATATGATATCTGTCTTTCCCCGACTGACTTATATCACTCAGCATAATACCCTCCAGTTCCATCCACATTGCTGCAAGTGGCAGGATTTCATTCTTTCTCCTTGCCAAGTAGTATTCCATTGTATATATAAACCACATCTTTATTCATTGATCAGTTGATGGACATTTAGGCTCTTTCCTTAATTTGGTTATTATTGAAAGCACTGCTATAAACATTGGGGTACAGGTACCCCTATGAATCAGCACTCCTGTATCCTTTGGATAAATTCTTAGTAATGCTATTGCTGGGTTGTAGAGTACTTCTATTTTTAATTTTTTGAGGAACCTCCATGCTGTTTTCCAGAGCGGCTGCACCAGTTTGCATTCCCACCAACAGTGCAAGAGGGTTCCTGTTTCTCCACATCCTTGCCAGCATCTGTTGTTTCCTGAGTTGTTAATTTTAGCTACTCTGACTGGTGCGAGGTGGTATCTCAATGTGGTTTTGATTTGTATTTCTCTCATGATGAGTGATGTTGAGCATCTTTTCATGTGTTGGTTAGCCATCTGGGTGTCTTCTTGGGAAAAGTGTCTATTCATGTCTTCTCTCCATTTCTTCACTGGATTATTTGTTTTTTGGGAGTTGAGTTAGGTAAGTTCTTTATAGATTTTGGATACTAACCCTTTATCTGATTATGTCATTTGCAAATATCTTTTCCCATTCTGTTGGTTGCCTTTTAGTTTTGTTGATTGTTTCTTTTGCAGTACAGAAGCTTTTTATCTTGATGAGGTCCCAATAGTTCATTTTTGATTTTATTTCCTTTGCCTTTGGAGACTGAAGACTGAAGCTTTATAGGAGTTATCTGGCAATAACTTAAGACAATACACCAAAACCAATGGGAACTTAAGTATTGCAGGAAAATGTGGTTTATTGAAGTTGCCTATTTGATTTAAAAACTTTATTGTTTTGTGTCTCTATATGAAACTTATTTTCCTCTATAGTAGTAGTGTTTCCTAAATTGTGACCCACAAAGCATTATTTAACTGCATTGTTCATGTGGATTCAACTAGAACAGCTTATCTACTGCAGGAATCCTCAGAGTCTTTGACAGTAATAATGTTCCCTATAACCCTTTTAGAGTGAGATGTAGGATCTGATGTTTCCTGAGCTTATTCCACTATCCTGCCCCCCCCCCTTTTTTTCCTTGATAAACTATCTACCATGAAATAGAGTTTGGGAAATTACGTTCTAGCCTCTTAATGGGTATTTGCTCATTTACCATCACAGCAGTCCTGAGAAGCAGAAACAGTTTTGGATGAGGGAGGATCTAAGACCCGCCAGAGTTGAGGCTTGGCAGTAGGACCCAGGTCCCCTAATGACTCACTCAGCCTTTTCTTTCTCTATCGCAGCCTTCCTTGCAGGCAGGAGGCACTCAGTCATGTGTGATGGGGCTCTCTGCTATTGAGTAGGGAGTGATCTGGGTGATATGCTCCCTGAGGTTTCTGTGTCCTGTGACTGGTCCACAGGGCTCTGTGGTCTCCTAAAGAGGCCTTTCTGAATTCCAGCAAGTTGATAATTGGATGAATGACTTAGTTCTCATGCAGCTTCTTTGAACTAATGGTTTAAGCAGCCCCCCACGTATGTTTTTAAGTAGGAAAAATGCCTAGGTGTGCTCAGTGTGTTTTGCTTCCCGATTTTTACCCCATGAGACTATGTCACGTTTTGTTCTTTTTATAGAAAGAAATTCAAGCCATGAGTCAGTGCAGCCATCCCAACGTAGTGACCTATTACACCTCTTTTGTGGTAAAAGATGAACTTTGGCTGGTCATGAAATTACTAAGTGGAGGTAAGTGGGTTTTGTTATTGTTTGCTTGTGTGTGTGTGTGTGTGTGTGTGTGTGTGTGTGTGTGTGTGTGTTCTTTTGTCTTTTGTGCAAGCCGTAATATTGCATACAACTTTACATTTGGTCCCCTTACTCTTGTATTTAAAGTTTTGCTTGGTTTATTATTTACCTAGAGTATAAAGCCCAGATTTCTTCACGTTGATATTGAAAAGCTTTCATAATATGGCTAAACTTCCTAGAATACCCGTGTCCTCTTCTGCCCAGCCTTCTTGGTGTAGGTGAGGCTCTCTAAATACCTCTGCACCCCGATGTCTCCACATCTCCCCTGTGCTGCTCCTCAGCCCTAGATGTCTGTCCTTCCTTCTCCACATGCCAAAGTCCTAAGAGGTCACGTCCTCTCTGCAACACAAAAGTTAACCAGTCCTTCCTGTTTAAACTCTGTTTTTAATATTATTCAAGTCCTTAACACATTGTAATATAGTGAATTACCTCAGTGCCGTTCATTAAAAGTTCTGTGATGATGGAAATGTTCTATAACTGTGCTCTCCAGTTTCTACTAGGTACATGTGGCTCTTAAATACTTGACATGTGGCTGGTGTTACTGAATTTCTGGAGGAACTGGATTTCTATTCATTTTTAACTAGCTTATATTTAAATAGCCACAGATGGCTAGTGGCGACGATATTGGACAGTACAGATTTAGATTAGATTGTGGACTTGATGAGGAGAGCATGGTCTAATGGACTTCTCCCTTATTGAACCTGGCACCCAGTGGGTACTCAGTAAATATTGTTTCAGTTGAAATGGAGAGAAACTCTGTGCATGCTAAATTATTTGCTTGCAGTGTTGATCGGAAGTGGCACTGTTTTCATCCTGTGTTTGCATTTGAAGAGGCAAAGTAACTTTCACTCTGGCCTCAGGTCAATGAAGTTATAAAAGTCATTGACAATTTAACTTATAAGGCACTTTTACATTGCCGTATTTTTTCTTTTAATCTCTTAACATCACTAGTTGATAGAGAATGATAATGGTAGCCATTAACTTTATTGAACACTTACTCTGTGGCTAGATTCTGCTCAAGGCAATTTACTTACCTTATTTCATTTAATCTGGACAGCATCTTTGAATGGCAAGTGTCACTGTCCCTGCTCTTCAGAAAGTTCCCCAAAGCTTAAGAGAGTCGGGCAGCTTGCCCAAGGTCACATACACAGTAGCTGTGAGCACCGGAATTTGTGGCAGTAGGACCTGTTGACTTAAAAGCTGTGCTGCACCACAGGAATTATCACCTTCATTTTACAGACATGAAAATTTAAGCTTAGAAAGCCCCAGTGATTTTCTTTGTAACACCCAGCATTCCCACATCTATCACTCTATATATCTTTTCCAGACGTGAAGTGTCGTTTAGGAGCAGAGGAAGACATTTTGCACTGCCTGGATGAAGCCAGAACCAGTATAGCTGAATTTATATTGTAGAGCCCGTTTTAACCTGTAGACCTGGTTCCAGTGAAGGCAGAATTGAGGAAGCATCTTCATTTTTTTTTGTTGTTGTTGTAAAGAAACTCTCTTGGATCAAGCAGAGGCCCAGAGCTGACAGGACAAATATGCTGTGATTGCTTTGGGTCCACTTGCGCGGGTCTCAGTGGGGAGCCTGGGAGAGCTGAGTTAGGTTCTGTTCCCAGTCTTGTCAATCCTATTAGTCATTGTTTCCTTGAGTGCCTACTTCGGGTTTTAATTAAACATGAAAAGAAAGAAATGAAAGAAGAAAGAAAAAGGCAGCCTGCTGGAGCCAGACTGCAGGGTTTGAGTGTGGGCATTGCTCCTTGTCTCTGCCGAGGCTGGTGCTTTGTCAGTAAGACGACCCTTCCCCCAATCTCTTGTTGCAGGGATCGAGGTTCTGGTGACCTGGGACCCTAGGCAGCCCCAGATACACTGCTGAAACTGAGAATTTTACTTCCTGTCTTTATTTTGATCCCAATTAACCTTTGATTAGCTTAACAATGTCCCATATCCCGTTGCCTGAAGACTGGATAGAAAATTTCCTTGTCTTTTTAAAAGAATCCAACTTAGTCCGCCTGGGCTTTAGGTAAGAAGAACGAGTTTTAAACAGGTTTCCACAGGTCAGAGAAACCTGGGCCGATATGGACTATTGCTCATTTTTCTTTTAGCAAGCCAGAAATGCATACATACATGCCTTACCTGGTATATACTTACAATATGAAAATGAAGCGGTTGTGGAAGTATTGTTTTCAAAACTACTAAAGAATTTAAGATTCAATGAATAAATAGATGTTTTGTTTCTCTGAGGGGGAAATATGTATTTGTTTTCTTTTATAATATTTTATCATATTAAATCTCTTAATGAGGGGCAGGCAGCTAGTCTGGTGTGGTAATACCTGATGTGGAAACTCAGTACTCCCAGTTAATCATAGAGCGCCTAGAGCCAGATTCAGGTCCTGAGGTAAGCCATTTGTTAACTCTTCAGAAATGTTGAACCCCCAGGTAATTAGGGCTTTTAAAATGACCGGGAGGTTTAGAATATTAATTAGTATGTGTTGAAACATGAACTCAGAATGCCAGGGATCCTAATCTGTTCATGGTAACAAAGTACCATGTATTTATTTCATTATAAAAGTCAGTACATTATGGATCAAGTAAACAAAAATAAAGATTGCCCAGAGTCACAGAAAGGAATATTCTGGTTATCAGCAGGGGTCTGGAGGCAATATACTTTTTTTTTTCTCCCCTCCTACCTGTGTCCTAGATGTTCAGGGAGACTGTGCTTCTGGCTCTCAGTTCATTGCGGTCTGTTCCCCTGGCCACCGCCTCCTCTTTTTTTTCAGTTCGGACATCTTGAATCCCCTTTTGAGTCTGTAACCAATTGTGCATGTGTGGGAGAAAAGACTAACCCTGGAGTGACCGTGAACAGTTTTTTGCATCCTGACCCAGAATTATTCTTATGCTGAAAGTGCTCTTGCAAACTTGGATCTTGTGTTTCTGGTCACGTGCTGCCATGCAATTGTTTGTGTGCCTTGGGAGCAATTGCGTCAAATAAACAAACTTATTTTGACATTTCCATTCAATTTTCTAAATAGTGGAGCCCAAGCTAGGAAGGTAATGAAGGTGCTTGTGCTTACACAGATGTTTCGATTCTTCTGTCTCTCCACCTAGGTTCCATGTTGGATATCATAAAGTACATTGTTAACCGAGGGGAACACAAGAATGGAGTTCTGGAAGAGGCAATAATAGCAACAATTCTTAAAGAGGTTTTGGAAGGCTTAGACTATCTACACAGAAATGGTCAGATTCACAGGTATGACTTCTGCAGAGATGTTTAAATTCAGCCATTTGTATATTCAGCTCTGGTTTGTAAAGACTGTTAAGGAAAACATATTGCCGGTAGGTATCAACATTATTTCTGAGCTAGGCCAAATAGTTGTGAAAAAAGTACTTAAAGAAACGAGAATAAATTAAAAAATTATTTTCAATGTTTATTTTTGAGAGAGACAGAGCACGAGTGGGGGAGGCGCAGAGATTGAAAGAGAGAGAGGGAGACATAGAATCTGAAGCAGGCTCCAGGCTCCGAGCTCTCAGCACAGAGTCCCGACGCAGGGCTCGACCCCATGAACTGGGGGATCCTGACCTGAGCCAAAATCCGTGGTTAACCAACTGAGCCCCTCAGGTGCCCCGAGAGAATAAATTTTGATGAAATATATTAGTATCCTTAGCATTGCTTTATCCATTTTCACTGAAATAAAAGCAGAATATAAAAAAGTACCTAGTGAACTCACTAAAAAAAAAAATAACAATACTACTCTTGAAGTATGCTTAATTGAACAGGATAGCATCTCTAACTATCTAATACAGGCAAAACTGTTCCAAATGTAATATGTTCATTTTTGGCATGGTGGTGTGAGGAAAGGGGGGGTAGCTAATTTCATCTTCTTTTGTGACATAACATGCTAATTCTTTAAATAGCCAAACAGCCTAGAATAGGAGTGTTTGATGTTTCAAAAGAGTTAGTGTTAACTTGGGCTCCTAGGAATAGCTGTGAGTAAATAACCATTTATTAGTAATGCTGGTATTGTAATTCCCCTACCTTGCGCTATATGTGGGCCATTTATTTAAGGATATCTGCCATGTCTTTTGGTAATTAGAAAAAAACGACCTTAGATTTCAAACTTGTAAGTTGTTATTTTTCTTTTTAAGTGTTAAGACTTCTGTATAATGAAGAAATATATTATAGAATGTTATAATTGGTATTTATAATCAGTATCTCTCCAGGGGAGAGGCTGATCCAATCCATTGTTTAAGAGGCTGCTGGGATTAATTTGGAATTGTACCACAGACAAATTTAAGTGGAAGTAGAACAGCTTTACATAGAATTATCAGCTTTAATTCTTGAGAAAAGATAGTATGGTGAGTTAATGGGTGATCTCCAACTCTACAACATAAAGAATGTACTCACTTGTGATTTAATTAAATTTGGATAATGATTTCACATAAAATATTTGTTACTAAAATCCTAACCACCCCCCAGGAGCAAACTATAAAATCGCCGTTTCTCCCTGTAACTTTTTAAATCTGTGATATAATTTTAATATTTATAAAATGATAATTACTTTAAACAGCTACATTATATGATATGTTTTTAAATCTCTGAGTGAATTGATGCAGTATAATGTCTATATTCCATAATTCATTCTTCATTTTTTTCTAATAGGGATTTGAAAGCTGGTAATATTCTTCTGGGTGAGGATGGTTCCGTACAAATAGCAGGTAACACTGATAAAAATAAAAATTCTTCTGACAGAAGTGTTCCAGTTTCAAGGAATGTAGAATCATTCCAAATAAATAAATAATGAATGAATGAATGAACAAATGAATGCATGTGATCTATTTTAAGCATGTATCTGGGCTGCCCTGTTAGAGAACATTTGGGTCTGAGGCAGAACACGTTTTCCTGTTGTTTTGGTTAAGTTGTTGTTAAATCATCCTGTAAATAATGTTATTTTAGAACATAGCCTTTTGATAGAGGCAATTTTACTTTCAATTTCATTTTTGTTAAATTTCAGGTTGAATAAAGGTGGTATTTATCTAACTGCAAGAAAAGCAGTTTTGAGAGTTTTTTTGATGAGTTTGAAAGTTTAGAACCTTGTACCCTTCGATTAATTTAAACGTTTCTATTTCTGAAGCAGTGCTGAAAGCACGGTGAACTCTCAAAGTCTGTGGGTTATTTTGTGGTCTTCAGTGTGACCCTGCATGGCTGTCCGTGACAGTAGGCACACAGGTGGCAGTGCACGTCTGTGGAGTGCGTACGCTAGACAAGTGCCCTCCGTGTGCAGACCTTCTCATTCTGTTATTGCACCAGAGTAACCCGAAAGGTCTGGGGTAAAGTGTCTCCATGTCTGTATTGACTCGTGTCTCCCTCCCATCCGTGAAGGCCTGTCTCCTCAGTCCTCTCAGCCATCACTGCTTTTTGCATTTGTGGCTGGACAGCCCTTACCTGTACTGAACTGTCCCTGTCATCATTGCAGGGTATTCAGCCCAGCCCTCTGGCTTGCAGGCATTGAATGTTATTAGCAACACGTCCCAGCGACACGCTTGGTGAGAATCACTGATGTAGCTTCTGCTGTTGAAGAGTGCTGAAGTTTGCCCCAAATACTTAATCAGTCCAGCCTGCTGCTTTTTGAGTTGGAGTGGAAGAAGCCTCTTTTCTAGTATTTAGGGTTAGGTTCTTTCTACATCAAGTTATTAGAGCAGAGTTGATCACAGTCCTTGGTTCTAGTCTAGTTTCTAGACAAATGCGAGGATCTGGGGTATTATTAGAAACAGGAGAGCTCAGCAGAAAACAAACACACCCCCAACACAAAGGATAAGCCTTGAGTCATCTCTTTGATTCATTGTTTGTCCCTCTCTAGGTGCCAGAGAACCTGTCAGGTGATGCCTGACTTGTGTGACAAGCACAGTGCTGACCTTGGGCTCTGTATTTAGTTGGGTATATTCACGGGGGCTTTTATTTATTTTCTTTTAAAGGAGAGAATAGAGGTTTTGAAAATACAAAAGGGAAATGGAGAAATTTGTTTCAAATCAAATGTTTCTTCCCTGAAGAACTAATACTGCAAGTGTTAGCTTTTATTAGTCCTCTCTTTGAAAAGATAAATTTAGTCAAATATTATTAGTTGTTGGCTTAAGACTACTGTGTAGGCACTCTGTATATCAGTTAAACACAAAGGCCTTGGAATCAAAACAGGCCTTCGTTTAGTATCCACTGTGCAGTGTGGGGCAGGCTGTCGCATCGCTGAGCCTCAGTTTCCTCATCTGTGAGATGGTGATGATAATGCCAATCGTTCAAGGAGACACAGATCTCCTTTGCAGGTGTAAAGGATATTTTTGAGTTTATTTTGAGATAGCACGAGCAGGGGAGGGACAGAGAGACAGGGAGAGACAGAGAATTCCAAGCAACTCTGCACTATTAGCACAGAGCACGACGTTGTACTTGAACTCACAAACTGCAAGGTCACGACCTGACCCACAACCGAGAGTTGGACGCTTAACTGACTGAGCCACCTAGGCACCCTGTACCTATTGAAACTTAAGCTTCAGGGCCCTGTAAGTGCAGTGTGTTTCTGGGAGTTGCAGAGTGTTCTAGGTGGAGATGGAGTGTTTTAGTTGGAGAGGTGTTCTAGACCATCAGGGGGTATTCTATGTAGGCATTTTTTGTTCAGTTGTCTGAAACTATTCCAGAAGAAATGACCTTAATCTTTAGGACACCAGTGAATTGGTATGAATTTTTACTTTTAAAGAAATAGACACACTTACACCTAATTTCATATTTTTAATTTTGTGTTGTTTATCTTAAAGAGGGTCTTCCCAGTTGTGTAAGCTTCACATCCCATGAAACTTGGATCTACTCCTGCTGATAACAGTTGTTGCAGTAGTTAAATAAATGTGAGAAATGCATAGTACAACCAAGAAATAGGGCAGTAGACAGGAATACACATTATAAGCTTATTTATTAGAGCACTGTTTGTGATTGCAATAGATTAGAAACAACTTAGGTGTCCTGATTAAATATGATACATGGTAGATCTACATTATGGGACACCCACAAGCTGTAATGGAGAATGTATACATTGACGTGAAAAAAAGTATCGCCAGGTTACGTAGTTAAGTGAATACAGCAAGGTGAAATAGAATGCATATACTGTGTCACCTTTTGTGAGGGAAATGGGGAGAAATACCTCTATATCTTTGTACAAAGAAACAGAAGGATAATGGGGAGGGAGACTTGTATAGTGCATACCTTTTAGAACATTTTGAATTCTGAACTGTGTGAACAAGTATGACCTGGTAAAACCAATGAAAGGAAATGACTTCATAAACTGTCAATAAGTGAAAGTCATTTTTTAAGCCTTTTATTATAAAAATTTTCATACGTAGCCTAAAGTAGAGAAGAGTAGGAAGAACCTCATGTACCCACCATGATCAGTTTCAGGCCATTCTTGATTCATGTCTCTTCCCCCTTCCTACTTTGGTGGCCTTTATTATTAACACCAAATTTTGTTCTTGAGCCATCTAAGTTAGTGCCTTATAAGTACACATCTTGTCCTTACTCTAGAGAGAGGCTCCTACCCCACAGGCCAGAGGCATTTAGGAAAAAACAAAACAAAAACAAAGCAAAACAAAATAAAAAACTTCAACGAAACAAGTGACAACAGAAAACATCTGTTCAGGCGGTCTCAGCCCAGGGTACTCAAGGGTACAAGGTCTGGGATGAACTGGCATGGTTGAAATTCCCGGGTCGCCTTGCGACCTTGGTCAAGCTACACACCTTCTTTAAGATTCTGTTTCCTTAAAAGAGGGATACAAATATAACCCCCCTCGCCTTTTTTTGTGTGTGTGAAATCAAATGAGGCTCCTCACATGCAGAGATCTTAGCAGTGGCTGGCACACGAGAGGCACACAGCAGCTGCTGTCGTACTTCTGCTCTTCTTCATGTCCCTGCCACTCCTGCTGTTCCTGGGACCAGCAGGCTTGTGCCCATCTCTCTGGCACCGCCTGGAGATCACATGTACCTCAAATTAGTCTTGCAAGGGGTTCAGCTCTTAGGGGCTTTTATGAGTTATAAAAAGCTAATGCTTATTAATTATGGAACTTGGAAGTTAACTTGTCATTAATCTTGCTCTAAGCTGATAAGGAAGTACAACTAATTTTCTCTCTTTGGTGATGAAACGATCATTTCTCACTGAGAGGGTCAGAATAGCAGTGAACAGCCTTTGAAATGCGAAAGGAGGTCAGCCCTTGCCTTATTCTGCCACTTGGCACTGTGCCAATCACTTCCTCTATTCTTCTTGTCAGATTGGTGACCTGAGCTCTTTCTCTGGGCCTTCTGTAGCACATTGGCCTTTTCTTTTTCTCACTTGGGATCCCCTGAAGTAAGGTTTCCTGACTTTTTCTCTCCCTCTTGGGCCTTGGGTTTTTCCCCCCACTGTGGGTGGTAGTGCTGAGTGTGACCCTGTAGGCACTTGCCCTGTGGGGGCTGCTGGGTTCAGAAGGTCACATGCAGAAAGCCACCACTACCTGGGTAGTTGTAGGATTAAATGAGGCCGTGCATAAACTGCTTGGAACAGTGCCTGGCAAGCATAGCGAAGACGTTGTGTACAGCCTTTCTGTACTCCCCTTGGTATCCCTTTTGTGTGTGTGACTTCATGCTTGTGTCAGACCAACTGAGAAATCACCATCTCCTGGATGTGTAATGGTGTGCAGACAGGCATTTAAATTGTGCAGTTTCTACATCTCTGGGGCTGTGGCTTTCTGGAATTCGTATTTTCATTTTTTCCACATTCTCTAACCTGAGCACGACATTGAATTCAATTCCTATAGTACTTTAATTTTTTTCTGGTTTTAACTATAAAATAAGGTTATTGCTTCAAGAAAAACACTTGTAATGTTTCCTTGGAACAGGCAGGGTGCTGCTGCCTGTCCCTGTTTTCTAGGAGTTTGGCTTTCTTGGCCAGGCAGTTGGTTTCTGGGACCAGGAGTCTTCGGGATCTTTGCTGGCATCATTGTCCAGTGGGTGGTGAAGGGGGTGTGGGTGGGAGAGTGGAAAGCAGAGACACAGCAGTGGAAGAGGTAGACTCTCTCTTTTTGTTGCTACCTATTATATTTGGATATTTGGGGAGATAGTACATTGCTTTTATTTAGGCTGTTTGTGTCCTTTCCCTTTATATCTTTATGTTCTTTAAGCCCTGTTTTTTGAAATAAAATTTAAGCAAGGGGGATGTTTGCATTTATTTCTTTGAATGTATTGTTTGTTTACCTTCAGAGTATCATTATGAGCATTGTTTTTTATTTATTTATTTATTTATTTATTTATTTATTTATTTATTTTAACATTTATTTATTTTTGAGACAGAGAGAGACAGAGCATGAACGGGAGGAGGGCCAGAGAGAGAGAGGGAGACACAGAATCCGAAGCAGGCTCCAGGCTCTGAGCTGTCAGCACAGAGCCCGGCGCGGGGCTGGAACTCACAGAGCGCGAGATCATGACCTGAGCCGAAGTCGGATGCTTAACCGACTGAGCCACCCAGGCGCCCCTAGCATTGTTTTTTAAAAAAAGTATTTGTGCTATTGTAATAAAAAACATTACAATTTTTATTTTTTTTTAAAAAAACTCCTTCTACCATATATATATTTCCTTTCTTAGAACTTTTAATTTGAAAAGGGGAAATTAAGGTGCCTGGTTCAGACCATGAGAAACTCTCATTGTATACAAC